TGGCCTTTCCAAGTTTTAAAATTATAAATGCAACAATAATATACAATTCCCCTCATGGAATTCAGTAAGTACACTATAATGGAGATCAAAATGACTTCCCTTTCAGGCCTTTAACGAGACAGTGACAACAGCTGTCAAGAGCCAACATGTAAAGGCAAGGTGCCTGCCTCACTCACAAGAGTGCCATTAATCTCAAAGTCACATTCAAGCTTATGTCTCAGCAAAATTATAAGTAATTCCATGCATAGCTATCTGAGGTCAAACATAACAGTTAAAATGGAATGTGTTGAAACTAAATGTTATGGGTATCCTGCAGTTGCATAATAAATATCTGTGGACTGGATAAGCACAAAGATTTTGTCAGTCACTGGAAATAGCTCAGAAAGCTCCTGCATCCTCAACCTCCTAGAGTTCACTTTAACCCTCACTTCACCACTAGACTCCCTACCATGGTTTCAAGCTCACATGCTGTCAGTCTGCTCAGTGTACTTCATGGCCAGGGACTTGGGTAACTTCTATCATTTAGCTGAACTGACCACTAGGCTGTATCTGATTAGGCTCCACCTATATCAAAAAGTAACTGTGCTCTAAAATGTGCCAATTTAGAAGATATTATTTCCAAGCTCTCCTAAAAGGATAATAGGAAATAGCAATGAATTTATTCTGATAAAGCTGCCAGAATAATGTATAATAGTAAAAATATAGTCAGTCATTAAGTCTTTTGAGTTAGTATCTAACTAGAAAGTCTTCAAATGGCATTCACTGTCTTCGGTGTGCATGTGAAAAGCCATCATCAAAGTGATGTGCAAGGAGCTAGAGAGACAGCTCAGTGGTTAAGAACACTGCTGTTCTTCCAGAGGACCTGACCTGGCTTTGACTCCCAGCACCCACATGATAGCTCACAACTGTCTGTAACCTCAGTTCCTGGGATTCTGTCCTCTTCTGACCTGTTTGGGCACCAGGCATGCAAACAGCATACAGACATGTATGGGAGCAAAACACTCACAGACACAAAATAATCAAATACGTTTTAAAACAGGAAGTGAGGTGCAAGGGGCTGGAGAGATGGTTTAGTGGTTTAGAACACTTGTTGCTCTCAAAAAGGACTGGGGTTTGGTTTCCAGAACCCTCATGGGGTAGTTTGTAATTCCAGTTCCTGAGGGTCCAGCATCTTCCTTGTCCTTCTTGGGCTCCTGGATACACATGGTACTCACACAGATAAGTGGGCACTCACTCATATATATATCAATACAAACAAATATTTAGAAGGAGAAAGTGAAGCATAAAGTTAGAAAACATAAATCCCATCAAAGTTGCTTGAATCGGTGAAAACAAAGTATCAGCTGACCCCTGCACTTCTGAGGTCAGCTGAGCCAGGGAGTGCGTTCCAGGCCAGAGGGGCTGCAGAGTTCCCTTTTGAAGACATCCTGGTTTACAAAATAAGTTCCAAGATGGCCAGAGCTACATAGTAAGATCCTGTCTTGAGATAAAACAAAAGTAAAGGCAAACCAAAACCAACCATAAAACAAACAAACAAACAAACAAACAAACCCAATCAACCAACCAACCAAAAACCCCAACATCCACTATGACCAAAAGGAGGCCAAGGGTTTAAGTGGCTTATACATTCTGATCACAGTCCATCATGAAGGGAAGTCAGGGTCTGGAGGCAGGAACTGAAACAGAGGCTATGGAGGAAGACTATTTATTTCTTGCTGCCCACAGCTTGCTGAGCTTGCTTTCTTATCAGCTTTAAGAACATGCACAGGGATAGTACCACAAACTATAGACTGAACCCAGCCACATCAATTGTCAATCAAGAGAATGCCCTACAGACTAATAGAGGCATCTTCTCACTTGAGGTCCCTCTTCCCAGGTAACTCTAGCTTTGTGTGAAGTTGATAAACAAAAAAACAACAGTAACAAAACCTAACCAGGACAGAAGGTCTTACTGAACTCCAAAAGCCAAGTGAAACAAACCACCACAAAAGCAGTATTAGTAAGAAAACAGAAAAACAGATGCATTCAAGAAATTTCCATTAAGAGAAAAGAATCTGAAAGGATAAAGTTTGGGACAACCACCCCCCCCCAGCCCCCCATCTGAAATAAGGTTAGCAAGTTCACAGGCCTAGGTTCAAGGAACTAGCTGGCCACCTGAAGAAAGAACTAGCCAGGGGGCAACTCAGCCAGGTTGTTCTGACAAAGAATAGCAGAACTAATAATATAGGTTGGCCAAGTCACCTAGGGAAGTCACTGACCATGAGGTAAATGACTAGGTTAAGGTCACATTCCCAAAAAGAATGTATACAGGATGTTATTCACTCTCCACCCTGGTCTGTGATTAGTGGAATAATAGAAACTTTCTGTATATAGGATGTTACTCACTTCCCACCCTGGTTTGTGACTAGCTGAATAATAGGTTGAAACTTTCCAACTATTGTTGTAATATGAGTTACTGTTGCCTTTTTTTTTGGCTTCTACTTTCACCACTCGCTCCTGGTTTTCGGGTTTCTCCTTTAAATACCCCTTGCTCCTGAGCCTCAGGGTCGACACTCCTCCTGGGAGTCTCGGCCTCAGTCGACTGATATCGCAAAATCCGGAAATAAAGCCTTTTGCGGTTTGCAGCAAGTTCGGTCTCTCAAGTGATTCTGGGTAGTCAAAAACCCCTGTTGCTTGAGTGGGGGTCTCCCCACTCCGGGGGCCTTACAAATCAATGAGATGTGGCTATCCCTCATTGTAGTGGGGAAAAGGCATTAGGGAAAGTCTTATCTCAAAAACAAGAATTTGTTCAAAAACGTGTACATGTTTCACAATGTAACTCATGACGAGCATGCTGAAGCTCAAACTCAATGTATTGAGTGCATCCCAGGCAACCATGCTGCGACTGACATAGAGCCCTAACTCCTATAACATGAAAACAAAAAAAAACCCCACAGCCAACCTCACATTCTTAAAGCAGTAAACAGAGCTAAAACTTGAGGACCTGAGAAAGTTTATAATACAAACCCTTTGGTCGACACAACACATAAATTTAACTTACTGAGAAACCACTTTGGCATATGGATAGTAATTATTGGATCTACACTTTGTTTGAAAAGGGAGAGAGGAAGTATTATTAATTAGAACACTTTCTTTCCTTGGGTTTTTTTTTTTTTTGAGACAGGATTTCTCTATACACCTTCCCTGGCTGTCCTGGAGCTCGCTTTGTAGAGCAGGCTGACCTCCAACTCAGAGGTCTGCCTGCCTCTGCCTCTTCCGAGTGCTGGAATTAAAGGTGCATGCCACCACATCTGGCTTCTTGTCATCAGCTTTTGATTCTGAAAGGGAAAGGCTAATTTTTCACTTGTTCCTTCCCTGTTTTAACCTCTGTCTATAAGTCAAGAAAGAAGATTTTATGAGTAAAGCAAAAAACACCTAAGCTCTGATACCTTCCTAAAGAAGTTGCTCTGAGAGGCAGGCTGATCTCTTGAGTTCAAGGCCAGCCTGGTCTATAAAGAGAGTTCCAGGACAGCCAGGGTTACACAGAGAAGCCCTATCTCAAAAAGGAGGAGGAGGAGGAGGAGGAGGAGGAGGAGGAGGAGGAGGGGAAAAGAAGAAAGGTGTTCTGGGATAAACGTTTCCACAGCACTTTTCTCTTAAACAGAATACAGCAAACATGCTTCAATCTTTACTGAGGATATTTATCTCCATGTAGCAATTAGGAAGATTCTACAATAAGTTGGCAGTGAGAATGTATGGTATTAGAGGTTGATGACATGCATTTCACACCTGCTTTCCTTATTATTCTACTTATTCCATTGAGCTTAAATAAAACAACTTGTTAGAACGGTGTGCACAGTAAAATGGTGCAAAGCAAATATCTGAAAAGGCCACCTGTAACCCAAGTGTTTGAGTTTTGCCACACAGTGACTTCTCCAGGAGGCATGTTTTCCCTAGAGCCGCAGGCTCTAAACCGGAATGCTTCACTGCTCTGGCTAACTCCTTCTTTCTTGTAATTCGAAAGGCAGTTAGGAGTAACAGGACTTTTAGACCTTTTGTCTGATAGTTCCTACTTTCTGTTCAGATAGAATCCAGCCTTGCAACATCAGTAGGGAGTCCATTCAAGTGCTCATTAAGTGGAAAGAGGTTGATGACCTATTATATCTCTCAGGTGCAGGTTGAGAAACATGACCAAACCAAAGTTTTGGAGCCTATCTTTAGCCCAAGGGTGAAGAAAGGTAACATATAACTTCATGTTTGGCCAAAGGGATCTGCCAAACAGTAATGAAGACATCCTGACAGATGCAGGGGCTGTGGGATGTGTGCAAGAAGGAATTCAAATCCCAATCACAAAACCCAGCTTGCCACAGTCCAGCAAATTTTTAACTGTTGACCTCCCTCCGTGACAAACCATGGTGGAGGCGACAGAGTCCAAAGGGATATAGCTTTACCTTTGCCCTCTGACTTAGTAGCGGAAACTCACCAGTTTCATATCGGACTTTTGGTTGTTCAGTACCAGTCTCTTCACTTCTCAAGACAAGGAAGGATCTTCCGGTTTAATCTCTATAGCCAAGAGCATCGCGGGACTTGGAGTCTTCCCTTCTTACGCACTTTCCAGAGCTTCACGGGAAATGTAGTTTTACTATAGGTATCATGGGCATTGTGGGCGTCTTTCCTCCCTTTTCTCTCTAAACACCTCCTTCCGTCCGCTCAAATTCATCGCCGCCGCCAATTCATCCTTCCTTTCCATCCCAGCATGATATCATGTCCCTCATCTGGGTCTAGCATCCATAGTATTCTGGGATATGTAGTCCGCACGGCTTCAGCTCTTCGCTCCCCTCCTCCTTGTGGGAAGGCGTATGGGCGCAGTGCCTGCTGGAAGCTGTAGTTCCCTAGGGCCTCAGACCCTCAGCTCTGCGCTTATTCTCTAGGGAACCGGAAACTACAACTCCCAGGGATGCCCAGCGGCAGCAGGTGGGAGCGGGGCTGTTGCTATCAATATGGCGGTTGTCAGCCAGACAAAGACAGTCAGTCTGATGTGATTGAGACAAGGGAGGTTTTCAGGGGGAGACTGGGAGATAGGGGCCTCCCCTCCCCCCTCGGCTCTTCCTGCGCGGGCCTGGAGCCCTCCTCAGCCCCTCCCGCAGGGTGCCCCGCGGTGAAGATCCCCTCCCCCTCCCGCCTTCCTCCTCCCTCCCTCAGCCTTGCACTGGGACGCTGGGGAGGGGGCTGAGCCGGGTGCAGAGAACTCTCAGCTGGATTTTCGAGGTGAGTGGGGTCGTTTGCAAGCCGGACTGCCTCAAGTCTCTTTCCTCACTTCTCTCATTACTTTAAGGAAAAAAAAATGTCGAGATGTTTGGTGGGAGAGAAAGTGAGTAGGCGCCACAGATGTGTCTCTGGAGTGGCCAGGTTGAGCATAGGGGAGCAAGTGGGGGTACTTCCGAGGGGGCGACCGTGCGCGGGTGTGGGGTGGGGCAGTTTGTGAGGGGCGGGCGTGGAGAGGCGTCGATGGCTTCTTAACTTCTCTGGTCTCCAGGACCGGCGGAAGGTTTGAATCCTGGACTTTGGGGTCTCCTGCTTGGGAGTTTGAGAAACTGTGAGTGGTTTCGAGGTGTGCTGGTTTGTTTGGGGAGTGTCTTGCTGTGTTTTAAATTGCGACGTGTACTTGGGTGCTGGGATCGTCTTGAAGGAATGTCTGTAGATGGTAAGTTAGATGGCTGGAGTCAGAGATAAGCGGCCTGGGTTTGGGAAGCACGCGCGAGTCCCGGGCTGGACTTTTGGTCCGTGGATCTTATGCAGGGTTTTGGGGTCTCAGTAACTCGTTAGTGTCTGGCGCTCAGCTCACACTCCGTACCTTCCTGGCCAGTCTCCACCCCAAACTCCCGGCAGGACTATATAGATGATGTGATACGGAGATGCTTCTTTGCCTTAAGTCGGCAGCCAAAGGTGGGAAAGGAAAAGTGTCTCTTAATATTTTATTCCGGAACCGTGTTTTGGTTACACTATTGGGGCTACTTTGAAAGGAGTCCTCCGCCCACCTTCACCCCGAAACAGTAAGTAGAGGTATCTTGTCATCTTGCTCAGTGGCTTGCCAATTATTTTAAAATTCGGGAACGTGGGGTTGGGAATCTCGAGTGCTAAATGCCATACGCATCTGTGTCTTCTAACGAGACAGAACGTCTGCTCTGTATCCTGAGGTAGATAGGGCGACTTATTTTTGTAGTTGAAAAAACTGTTGGAAATTTTTTTCGGGGAAGAGGGTTGGCGGTGCGCTGGAAGGCGCTGCATATTTTTTTTTTCTTCTTCTTCTACCCCACCCTGTTCTGTGTCACATTTGCTTGAAAACTGGTATGGAAGAGTGAGGAAGCATTGGGTGAGCGAAGCAAAGAATGCACTTAGCAGTAAAGATACACGCTACCTAAAGTTGAATGATTACTGTTTTTATTTTTGTCTAAAGCTTAAAAAAAGAAAACCCTCGTCTGTTATATAGGGTATAGTCACGTGCTCCTTTTTCTGGGGACCTGCAGATAATAGAAATCTTTGCCTTCTCTTTCCTATCTTTCCTTAGCTTCCTCCCTCCCCCACCCCCTTCCTTCCTTCCTTCCTTGGCACAGAACATTTCTCTTACCGATGGACATAATACCTCCTGTACTTTTTTGCTTAGTTTGTGCTAATATGGGTTATGCTTTTTGTGGTTTCACTATAAAATGCATCGTTAAGTGAAAAGAACCCGAATTTGTTGTTATTTTGCATTTATGCCACAAGTCATTATCACATCAGGTTTTCAGTGCTTTGCATTAAACTTATTAAAATTGCACAGTTGAGTTGCTAGATCTGGTTGTATTATGCTTATAAGTCAAGTTTGGGAATTTTTATTTTATTTTTCAATTTTCAGTTAGGATTGGAATGAAACATCTCTTGTTTCTCACAGTCTTGAATATTTAATGACATTACACCAGGAGAATTTAAGATCATACATTTTGTACTCCCTCAGTCCAAAATACAACTTCTTCAATTACTCTCTGTGATAATTTTGTGGTATCATAGACTTTTAAATCACTAAAAGAATAATTGGCATCATTTCTATTTCGACTTGAGAATTTCATGTATTTATGTGTTTGGTCAAGAATGTATTGGTTCTATTAGCTATGGGCTTTTAGATTATATAGCATGTGAAAGTACCATTGATACACTGGGATTTCATGGTAGGTTTAGTCTTTGATTTGAAATTTCTGCTGTTGATTATTCCCACAGATGAGGGGACTGTTTTCATGACGTTGAGCATTAAGTATGTGAATGGACCTAAATATAATTTTGTACACAGTACGCTGTTCGAAACTGAGCCTTTGGTTTGTTGAAAACCAGGATTTTTAGAATTACTTGTTTGAAGCTTTATCTTAACCTGAAACATTAAGTTTCAAAAGATGGAAGAAAATTCCATGTAACAACGTAATAGTTGTTTACTTGTATTTTTCCAAAATGTATTCTAGTAGATATTGAATTTTTAAATGTTTAATAATCATTTTAGATATGACAAACTAAAATGTTCCGCCTAGAAAAATGAATGTTTTTCATCTGCACTTTCCTTGAATCTTCATGTTTAGTCTCATCAATGAAATCGTGAAGTTATTTATGGGAAAAGCATTCATTAAACTTCTTCTGACTAGTAGCCTGATAAAAATGGCTTCATGAACACCAAATATTCCTTATATTCATTGGGCTGATTCTGTTGCATTTTGAGTACTGGGGCATTAAAATGATGTAAAGCCTTTACTGCAGACTAAAGCATAAAACACTCTCAGCATGTGGAAGTCATATGGTTTATGAAAAAAAGGAGAGAATGGGGGCATTGGTGCCTGTCCAGCCTAAAATTTCATTCCGTAACTGTAAAGACATATTTATTTTAATCTGATCATTTCTGAAAAAAAAAATTCGGCCTTTACCTTATGGGAAATTGAAAATGCAAGCTGTTTTTAACCAATCTGCTGCTAGTTCTGTGCACAGTGTACATATATGCAAAGCTGTTTAGTTGCAAAAGTGCATCAAGGATAGGAACCCTTAGTAATGTGCTGAATGCCTTAACAGAAGGCTTCATCTGCACAGCTGGGTGTATTTCATCTTCTAGCCCAAGTGGAAACTTAATATCTCTGTTTTTCTAAGTTATAACACACATTGTAACAAAGATCTCATTCTTCTCTTCCTGCAATTTTATACTAAGTGTTGATGGGTATTCTTGCTTGCTTCATTGTACATTGTATATTAATTTGTTCTTTTTAAGTCTCCTATGTGTCATGTTATTTCTGGCTCTAGTTTGAAAGTTCAGTTGGCTACCTTGTTTCTATAAAAAGCAAAGCAGGTTTACTGTTGGATTCATCTGTTGCAGCTTTTCTATTGTTTTTGTAATCTGTTCTTTAAGCTTGGGTTGTTTCTCTTGGGAATTATAAATTTATCATAGAGCAGGATTTGGTGTACGGCTCAACTTTTAAAAATGGTGAACACTTATGGATTAGTCTTAAAAGCACCCAGTAAAAATGTGCTTTGGTCATTTCGTTTCTGCTTTATTTAGATATTTTGGCTTCCAGAATCTTATTATCTATTCTTTGGCTAGATTTTTCTGATAGCTATTGGTTTTTCTTTTTCTTTTCATTTTTGTACAACTTTATACAAGACTGTCATGAATAAAAAACATAGCATATCTAGAGTGTTACATATGCAAATTCATATGCGTACTCAAATGTATATGAAGTGTGTGTATATTTGTTTGTCTCTCTGTATATCTGTGTGTGTGTTTCAGACCTACAGCCATGAAAGCAATCTGATCCACAAATAGCAGAGACTTAAGTATAACCACCATTCATGCTGTCCACTTTATAGACACATTGGAGGCTTCCTTATCATTGTAAACTGTCGTTTTATCAGATTCTGCCAAACTACAGTTCTCTCAGATGGGAGTCTATCAGTCTGACATTTTTCTTCAGCTAGTACTAAATAACTAGCGTGTGACTCAGATTCTTAGACACAGCTGTGCCCAAGATGGCGTTCACTTAGACTGAGGACCCATCTATCATAGGTGCACATGAGTTGAGACTCTCTGACGATTATCTGATATAAAACTTTTAGGTTTTAGCTAATCACTGTTTATGGACTCTTATGATGTAGGAATAGCATTATGGGTTTATTTTAAAAAAAAAATGTGGCCGGGCGGTGGTGGCGCATGCCTTTAATCCCAGCAATTGGGAGGCAGAGGCAGGGGGATTTCTGAGTTCAAGGCCAGCCTGGTCTACAGAGTGAGTTCCAGGACAGCCAGGGCTACACAGAGAAACCCTGTCCCGAAAAACAAGAAAAAAAAAAAAACAAAAAACAAAAAACCAAACAAACAAACAAAATTGTGAACAAAAGCTAAAAATTGCAATTTAAGTGATTTATAAAGCAGTGGTTTAGCTTTGTTGTGATGGGCTATTTTCTTTATCTTTTGAGTCTTAAGACAGATGTACCTGATTCTTAGTTCATTCCGAGTCCATTGAGATTTTTATTAGGCTGTTGACTGAAATATTTACTGGATATATGCCCTGAGAAGTATTTTTGTTGTTGTTTTTTGTTTTGTTTTGTTTTGTTTTTCTCACTGTGACGTGGGTTGGGGTCAAATGGGAAGAAGAACCTCAATTGTGAAAACATCTGAGATTGCTGTGGGCAAGTGTGTGGGGCACTTCCTCGGCGGCTGACTGATAAGAGGAGGATCCAGTTCACTGTGTGCAGTGCCACGCTTGGGCAGGTGGTCCTCCAGAGTATAAGAAAGAGTGCTGAGAAAGCCATGAGGAACAGGCCAGTAATAAGGTCCCTTTGTGGTCTGCAGATTCCTGTCCTACTTGAGTTCTTGCCTTAACTGTGGACGTGGCAGATAAACCCTTCCCTCCCAAGTTACTTTTAGTCATAGTGTCTTTATCACAGCAATCAGAAGCAAGCTAAGGCAATATATTTGGTAGTTTGTCCATCTTTTGTCCAGGGCTGCATATATATGGTGCATTAGAAACATTAGTAATTTTCTTGTTTAAGGAGCATTGTGGAGTTGCAAAGGAACACTGATTTTTAATGAATACAGTCATGTTCTTTTTTGCATTTATTTATTTAATGCAAAACCTGCCATGATGTGCACATGGATTTTAGAAGACAACTTGCAGGAGCTGGCTCTCTCACCATAGTGGGTCCTGGGGATCAAACACAGGTCTTTGGGCTTAGTAGCAGATGTCTTTACCTGCTGAGCTACCTTA